ATAATAGTGTGTAGTGTGTGTGTGTGTGTGTGTGTGTGTGTGTGTGTGTGTGTGTGTGGGGCTGCGCGCGCGCGCGCGCGCAAAGTGTTTGCCTCGGTACAATTCGATTAGTACACTTACAATACACGATCGATTTTATCATCGATATTTGCTGCAGTCATCATGACATTTTATCACTGTGGGAGGCCATCGAAGCCATCATCAGTCTCATGATACGGACTCGAGACTCTTTGAATGATCTTATTCTCTTACATCTATTCGCATATATTCGAAAGCTTTCCTAGGCCGACCAACAAGCGCGATTCTTAACTATAATTCACAATTTTTCGCTCAACGAAAAAAATCTTTTATTTGCACGACAGTTTGTGCCTTTTTGCATACGAAATCACGAGTCCAATTGCGAAATGCGAAAGCAAATAACCAAATCAGAGTCTAATGTTGGAAAAGTATTGTTATGTTATAGTAAATCGAAAGAAAAACAAATCCCATTTTTTACAATGTAATAATCTGCATAATTTTCATTATTCCTCGACTGAAACTTTGCGTTTGTGCAAATTATATAAATTAAAAAAAAGAAAAGGAAAAAGAGGAAAATAATGTGAGGAAAAATGATCGCTGCTTCTCTTGCTCAATGGCATCAATCATCTCGAGAGGTCCACCACTCGATTCGAATTCACGATAATTAGGAGGACAAAGCAACGTATTCACATTATCATCGTCGTTGACGTATCTTTAGTCTTTTAAAAGTACATATGTATTTTTAATTAGATAAAACACAAAATTTCCACCCGCATTAGAAGTGTTTTTTTCTTTTTCTTGATCAAAACAACAAATGTGCAGAGAATTTTTTATTTAATATCTAATATATACTGCTGCTCTGAACCTTGATATATATAGTCATAAATAGATAGAAAATCTCTCGAAGAATCTTACCTCTGATTTAGTATCAACAAAATTACAGTAAAATAATCATAGCATCTTATTATAATTGTATTGTGTGCGTGCGTATTGCATGCGTATTTTTAAAGTTTCATATATTAATCATTTATAAACTGAAACATTATTTTATGATAGCAAAATTTTTTTTTGCTCCATAACGTTTTGCAATAAAACAATATTTTTTGAAATCATATATAGATTATTACAGGTTATATTACACACCACACACACATACACACACACACACACACACACACACACACACACACACACGTGTGGATATATATATATGTATAATAAAACAATTTCTAAGACAAAAGAAGGGAGATTATATACACAAGCATGCAATAATTTGTAACTTTGACTTTATTGAAACAATGAATGAGGGAAAGATTTGTCCTTTTAAATAGAAGAAATAAATTTGATAACAAACATTATCATTGATTCGAGGAAACTTCTCCGAGCGATGAATAAGATTTATTCGAGCAAAGCATACGATTCGAGATGGAAGATATCAGTCTTTGAAATCAATTAACGGCAATATTATTGTATAAAGTTGTCACTAAAAATATGAAGTCTTTGAATAATTATGATCATGAGTTTCAAATAATAAATATTACTGAACTAATTGGCTCTTTTAAGCAAACAAAAAAAGCAGCAAGATTAGGCAACAAGATATATTTATGAGAAGTCCTCTTTTATGTATTATTTTGCATTTTTTACGTAGTTAAAATTCATGAAAATCCAAATTCGTTATTAAAATATCTCACATTTCTCATAAAATCTTTGCATTGCATGCAAAAATTTTCGTTATTAATATTATTATTATTAATTTTCGTTATTGTTTGTTCTTAATCTTATTTTTCCGATTTTGAAATAAACAACGTCAAACAGTTTAAAATTAAATCTTTTTCCGTGGATTTCCATACAAAAAGTGATATAAAAATTTTTAAATTTTTCAAATAATTAATTGATTCGTCAATACCATTCGACATTTCTTATCCTCTACGAAAGTAAATAAAGAAATTCGTGTACAATAAACAGAACATACGCGATCGTTGCCTTCGTCCTCGTTCTTTTAAACGATTGTTTCGTTTCAAAATAGATCATTGCAATTCAGAGTTCAACATATACAACGATATACAACATAATAACAATTAGCAGCAGTGATGTAATGGTAAGTCATAATATAATAATAGTAATAATATGATAGTAATAATAGTAGTAATAGTAGTCTAAAAAAAAAAGAAAAAGAATACACAAGAAAAACACGATGGCAGTATTGCACGCATGCACGC